AACCAGCGCCACTGCCACCACCTTTTAGTCACTCATACCATAACATGCAACACTCTGCCTGACTCTATGCTGCTCCTTTAAGAAGCTTCACTACGCTCACTACAATCAAGCCAGTGTTCTGTACTCAGTTGTATATTCCCATGGTCAGGCGCTGGCCCATTCCATCCCCACAAGCCTGATCCTGCCAGCCGAAGATGGCGCGCATGAGCACCTTGAGCTGGAACTGCAATGGGTCGAATCACAGTTGAAATGCGTAGACGGTAAAAGGCTTCTTGGGATAAGGTTTTGGGCTTTGGCCTTAAAATGCAAGCCTTCCAGGAATGCATACTAAACAAAAAAACCAAAACCCTAAACCTACTTCTGGAAGTATAGCAGCAATTGCAAGCATTTACCGGTGAAATGCTGCGAGGGTACGGCACATGCACATATACATAGGGACATAGAGATGCGCCAACAAACGAAATCTACCCGAGCTTCCTACATACGTGTTCAGAAGAGCTCAAAAGTTCTTCAAACTTGAAAACTACCTGTAAGACATGCACTCCCCCGGTCGTTTGTGCTTGCTGCCAAGGTGCAAAGAAGCGGTTGGTCTTGTCATTGCAGCAGCCTACATCCATTTGGCTGATCTGAATACCCCCAAAACTCCAGACCTTCTTTACACCATTTTACAACCATGAACATCAGACCCACGTGCTTCTGCTTTCAAAGGTCATCTTTCATAAAGCTCATCAGCAACAAAGAGCCACAACTTTGGCACACCCCTCGTTCTCAACTTGCTTCGTACTTCATCCAGCCTGTGGCGTCCCAAACGTTCACGTTCTGCCAGGGACGCTCAGCTCGGGGGCTCCAGGTGCCGAAGACGTCGAGCTCCTGGCGCGGGCGAGGAGGTGCTCTTTCAGCGTGAAGCTAAGTAAGCTTTTTGCTTCGCACGAGGTCGAACCAGTGTTGGCAAGAGTTTTCATAATCTTGCAGGCTACACACTGGCTTCCACAGCGCGATATGGCATGGCAGAGGTGGCTGAGGACGTCAGAATTCGCTCTTGTTGACAATTGCACAGGCATGTTTATGATGACGAAGCACTTTGAACCCCAGAGGCAGCTTAGGCTCTTGAAGCCTTCAGACTTTAACTTCCTGAAGCCCATTAGCGGCTTTCAGTCCTGCAGCTGGTGCATGGAGGATGAGAAGAATCCAGCAGCAATGCTCATCAGCCTAGGCCGAGAGTGCTGAGCCATGACGTGAACAGAATGTGTGGGGTTCTCATTTGGTCTATGGTGTGGGGATGTACCATTTGCAGGTGTTTGCAATTTCTGGGCATGCATCGGCTTCAAACTATCCTCGAAACAAAGTCATAAGGGCAGGGATTCTGCATGGCGGCTCATGAAATCCATCCCTGGCTCTGGGCCCAACGATGAACTCATACAAACTAAACTTGAGAGAAGGCGGCCTGAACTGCTATGAATTGTTCCACCCAGGAGCCTGATTGCAAGCAGACTCTTAAAACACCCCATCATCCCTGGTTCGGCTTCAGCATGCAACTCACACTTTCAAGCTTTGGGAAGCGGCAGCTCAAGCACTGACAAGAATTCCACCAAACGCAGCCCCAAAAGACGTGATCAGATCGGCATCAACCAGTCTTCAAGACCCCAATCACTTTGTCGCGGCTGAGGAAGCTTGCAGGGTCAGAGAAGCAGCACTGAGGCCCACGCAGGACAGCGGACACGCGCATGAACCAGTCGACTTTCAGGCCCCTGAAGCAGACGTGCTCTCTCAACAGTCAGGGTAGGTCTTTGGGCAAATTCCTGTGGAGGTGAGGCAAAGCAAAGTGTGCCAACCCCCCCAAAACCCAGTCATAACCACGCAACATCACGCAACCCCAGCAAAATCATCCCATGCAGCTGTCGAAATAGAACTGGAATCCTTCGCAAAAGGAATTTTGTTGACCTGAAGGTTCAGAAAAGGTATGGTCTAGATGCCGAGAGAACACGGGTTGCAAAGAGGATGGTGTAGACATACCACAGGAGGAAAACACGGGCCATGTGGAGTTTAAATGGATTAGCTTGCCAAGGGGCTTCGTTCCCTGGAAGAAGATGCAGCCAACCTCAGCATCGCAAGGCGCAAGGTAAAGGCTTACCTATCAACACTTGGTGGCTAGAGAAGTACGATATGTTCGGAGGCAAAGGTTTTTGAGGCGCTCCTTTTCTGGAGACTTCCACATTGCAAGGGTCTCATTGCAGGAGCCGTGTTGCGAATTCTCTTTGAACTGCCAGGGACCCAAGCACAGCATCCATGCGAAGGAGTCTACCGAGGAGTTACTGAGGCTCTCGTTATGAGAATTGCCTCTGAGGAGCAGAATTCCGCGTTGACACAAGTCCTTGCTAATATGAAAAAAACCTAACTCAGGTCATTTCAAAGCCTAACCCCGTCAAAAAAAATGTGTACGCATGTGTACGCAACAGGGACAGCTGCCGAACCTCTCATCATGCAGATTCCCCGGGTCAATACACATGTCCTCTTGGAGCAGTGGTGAAAGACCAAGATAAAGGATGTACTTCCAACAAATCCGGACCTAAAATCACAAAGGATGGTAGCGTCTGGTAGGAGGCAACATATAACTATAACCCCTGCATCCCAGCGACAATTCGGGCCAAAATCAGGGCCGAGATGATGGGCAGCGGCAGGGAGCTGAGATCCTGGCAGTTCATAGGACCATAAATTGGGCCATCAACAGATCTCAGGGTTCCTGGACTTAAATTGTTTGGTCTTCGGGATGTAGAATCATCAGACCCTTCCCCTGGTAGCCTCCACATCAGCACGCTACTGATCTATCTCACAAAGCGCGTCACCCCAACGTGGAAGCCTTCACGTCCGAGATGACGCCCACCAGGAACACGATGGACTCCAGCCCTGCAGCGCGCATGTTCTTCAACAATTAGCAAAGACCAAAATACAGTATGACTCGTAGTCCAGCTTCTCCCTCATGCCCGTACACAAGCCTCATGTCAATGAGACCGTCTCACCCCTAGCCCGACACAGCAGCCCTAAACCCTCTGTGAAACGCTAATCCCCTGGATGATCCCTGTTCAGAGTTTTGAAGCTGCACCCTCGCGAAGGCCAGTGGTGAAGGCGAGCACAAAGAAAGCGTGCCTTCAACGCAATGATTTTAGAATTCAGGAGTTCTGAGCGGGGCTATGGTTTAGGGCTTGAAGTCTTAAGAAAAGGCTTTTGTCAGCATCCGTTCTCTTGGATAAAGCTTCGGAGCGATGATTCTTCCATGCTTGGTCTGTCCGTCTGTCTGTCAGTCAGGATTAAGGGGACGGCCAAAGCAGAAGACAAAGAAGAAAAAGGCAAGCTTGTCTCAGCAGCGATCTCTGTGGCTTCCAAATCCTTCCGCCAGAGGATCACTTCTGAATGCCAAGATGCTTCTTGCCGAAGCCAACTTCCTCTCCTGCCAGGGTCAGAAGGCACCCCCACACTTCTTCACTCCTGACGGCAGTACCAGACTCGCACATGCTCCTGCTACCGCCATGTGTACCACCCGTTTGCCTGTAGCCCTGAAGCGCTCCCACCCTAAAGATCTGCTTCCATGATTCATCTGTAAGACTGGCATACTGCCGAAGGCATTTGTAGCAAAGACCACGAATGAATGCGCACCCATTTCGATAGGAACCACCAGCCAGCATGCGCAAACGAACAACGCCCCTTTCGTGACCTCCAAGTACATCCTGAACACCTGACCTTCAACGTACGCGTCCAACTGACGACCATCACAGGCAGAGTACCTTGAACCCTGTACCCTAAGATCGACAAGCACCGTATACCATCTGCCCTTACTGATGTTACGACCCAACCCTACGCCATACAACAAACTGCCCCAGACCCTGAACATATCAGAAAGGCTACGCTCATGGCCATTATGACCCTGAACTCTCGCCTTCTTCCGCAACACGGGTAGCTTCCAGAGTCTCCTCAGTTGCTTTTGGGGTGCTGATCGGTTTCAAGGCTTTTCGGGCTTTGGTTTAAACCCCACGGACTTCTGTGCCTGCACGAATGCATAGGGGATTGGTGCACAGGCTTGGCCATCAAAGTCGGGTCTAAAGATTAGGCTTTAGCGTTTCAAAGTTCAGGGTTGTGGGGCCCAGAGCCGCGTCAGCTTTCATTGCTACCGCACAGTGGCGCTAGCTGACTACGCATTGGTTTCAGTGCTGGGGGGTTAGGGCTTACGTTTGCTGAGTCTTGCGTTAAGGACTCAGATTACGAGGGCTTCGGGAGGGTGGTTCAAAGGGGGACGTCATACCTGGAATGTAGAGGCATGGGGTCGCACGTGGAATACGGAGCCTGCACCGGCCCCTCACGGCTTTTATGACCCAGGCTTGCTCTTGCAGTAGCTGGATGAAGCAGTCGGCAGGCGTGGAGGTGTTGCTACCACTGCTGTCTGATTCAGCCTCTGCCAATGATTTTAACAAGAAACTTGCAACTTACGGGTCGAAGGGCCCTGCCTCACTCTTACAGAACACACCGTTGGATACATCCCTCAGAAAGAGGCTTCGCAAAGCTATGCATGCGCTCAAGGTGGGGCAGAAGGGTCTGTCTTAGAGGCAATCTCACAAACAGTCTCCAGATGTTCTACAGCAATCGAGCTTGTGAACGCTCCACTAAGTCTGCTAGGATTCCTGGCACGTTCGAGGGAATTTCCTATGGCTTTTTTGACACTGGAAGTTCAGCCACCTCCATCTGCTTCTTCATCTTGCGCTCGTGCGCCTCCTGGCTGGGCTCTTGGTTATGTTGCGTTTGCAGGGTCGACTGCTCGTACGCATGGCTTCTCGAGGAATACATAAGATGATGTGATGACAGCTGCAACAATTGCAAGGAAATCAGAATGCAATCGTTCTGTTCCTTCAGGTTCGCGCTTCAAAACTTTGTCGGGGATAGGCGCCCATCTGATGCCAACCTTGATGGCTCAACTATAAATACCCAGCCCTGGCCCGCAGTTGTGCCTTGGTGTAGATCATCTTGTAAAAGTTGACCGCCAGGAAGGTCAGTACAATGCAAGTAAGGCCTCAATCCGGATTTAGAGATCGGCTTTAACGCAGAGATGAAACGGCCCCACGGATATCACTCTTTAAGACCTGCCCACAAGCTGGGCTCACACAGTCATCCTTTTTTCAGGCGAGTTGCTCATCATGCAGAACTGGAAGATGCGCTCATTGTCACCCTCGAAGAGCCTTGGAAAACACTTCAAGTCTCAGGGCTCGGCGTGCAGGATAATAAGCAAGTTAGAGGGGGACCAGGATCAAGGGATGGTAAAACCTGAAAATGGAAAAGTTTTTCCAGCTGCTGGCAACCTATTATGTTCAGGACGGACCCCAAGACACCCTCAGCCCGATGCCGATACGGATGTGCTACCCAGAGATCCTCACCTTTTGCAAATAACGTAAGATGCCTCTGTCCGGTGCCTCAGGTTTACGTGCATATACATATCCACGCTTGTTGGGAGATCCTGAACCCGGGGCGCGTCTAGGGCGTTTGCCGCGATTTTTCGCGCCTTGATGTGGTATGCTTGTGTTTTACGCGTCTTGCAAGTAGAGTTCATGTGCAGTCGAAGTATCTTGTGCATCCCATTTTTACTCGCAAGGACAATGAATTTGAAGTGTTGCAGACATGTGTAGTCTTTGTATGCAGCAGATCATCCCTCCGTAGGCTTCCGCATTGGGAAGAATGCACTAAAAAAGCGTGATGTTGGGAGGTCCAGGTCAGAGTTGAAACTCGCAAAATGCTATGTTCTCAGTGCTTTTGTCGGGGCAAACTCTAACTTGAAGCAACAAACTAGTACTAGCTTCCTGCTGTCTCCAAAACGCAAGTCAGAAAACCATGCCAGGCGTTTCGGAGGCACTTCAACTTGCACCTCCGGAGGATCCTGCGGAGGTGTCACAGAAGGGCCTCAGAGAAAAGCCTTAACCCTTAGACCATAAATCCTGAATCTTAAACCCTGCATGATACATGCCTGACAATAATGATGACCCTCTTTGTACCAAGTCCGAATGTGAGTTCAAGGTGCCAAATTGAATTGCTTCGAAGTGGAAAAACTCCAGGACTGCCGTGCTTTTTCTGAGTTGTCCTGAAAACATAAACTGTTTAAAACTAAGACTCAACACCCCAAACCCCACCCCACAAACCCAGAACGCCAAACAAAACAACCCTAAACCCAAACACTCAAAACCCTTAAACCCTCCCCTAGAAGCGCCGCCAGAGTGCTGGTAGGTCAACGAGGCCAGGGCTAGGAAGCCCACCCCGAAAAGCAAGCAAACGGCGAAGCCCATGCTTGCCCCGATGTAGACCTGTCAAAATCTTTTGGAGCAGAATTTACGAATTCGGGCCTTCCAAAGTTCATATGAGCAGCTGCATAAATTACTTATAGACAGCTAGGTAAAAAGTTCAAGGGTATCGCTTTTTTTGGGGGGGTCCTATCGTTCTACAGGGTTTTGGCACACTGCGGTATGTATACCTATCGTTTTACAGTGTTTTGCAAGATCCCTCGCCTGGATGCCAGGCACTTTTGCTCTTGGATGGGATCTTTATGGGAATTTTACAAGTCACCCATTCGGGGGCATCGTTTTTTGGGGTGGGCCTATCGTTTTACTAGACTTTGCTCATGTCTGGACATGTTTATCTCCGCCTGACCTTGGCTGCTACACGACAATAAAGGAGGACGCTCATATGGAGAATCTGCACCGGTAAATGCAGAGAGACTGCAGGGAGATCGCAGGCATTCTGTAAAGCTATAGAGGCTTCTTAACAGATGTATGCCCAAGCCTCTCTCATGACATCAGCAGTCTCAAAGGTCTATGAACGATGGAACTAATGACCGTCATACTATGTCATACTGACAAGCATGATGAATATAGCAAGGCGTGGCAAATGTGTTAGTGCAGTAAGACTATTGGCAGGAAGAAGGGCGAAGGACGGGGATAACCATCATCACCACCATCACCATCACCATCACCATCACCACCACCATCACCATCACCATCATCGCCATCATTATCATCACCGCCCTTGGGCGATGGCCTCGCGACGGAACTTGTAGAATTGCTTCTGCTCCAGAAGCCCGTCGTTCCTGGGCATTCTTTAACGGAATCGACGTCATGGTGCCAGCAAGCCCAGCGCTGATAAACTTTTTCGCAACAGTGGCAAGAAGGCAGAAGTGACGGCAGCACTGCGAATGACTGGAAACATGATACTCACAAGTGTAAGCAGGACTACTGCTTGAGGAGTCTCACCTTTCGGCTACTGCTGCAATTGCCAAAACATAGTGAGGTGATGTTTGAAACCAAAAGTTGGCCTACTATCTCGGGCTTCTGGAGATCTCCCCGAGTGATTTTGCAGGTTCAATGAACGCAGACCTTCACTTGCCCAAGAAATGCATGCAGGCAGTCTCAAGTCGGCTACGTAAAGGGATTATACAGGGGTGTATGAGGAGCAAGTACTGGCATCTAGGGCCGTGCTTGGGGCCAACCACCCAATAATGGAAATTCAAATGAAAAACCTAACGGAAACTGGGATGTACAGGTTACGTCGTACATGTTATGGGTAGCCCACAAATTAGAATAAGATTTAGTTCCTGAACTCCTAAGCTTCGCACCCGTCAGGTCGCCTGAAGTAAGCAAGAATGACAGGATTTGAGCAGCTGTTGGGAAAGAATCGTCACTCTTGGTTTGGGTGGATCCTTGCAGACGTGGCCGAACTCACAAAGTGCAGGCCAGTGGCTTCATCTTTGTCAAGAACTGCATGATGATGGCAAGCACAATCACCACCTGAACGCAGGAGCTTCAGACGCTCCACCAGGAGCTTGCTGTGCAGGATGTGTGGCTCTGGATGTTTAGCTTGGAAAAAAAAGCGCTAAAGGGTCAGGATTCATCTGATCTACCAATTTAATGGCACTTTATTCCAGCACCTTGCACGACAAGCAAACAGAATCAATTGTACTCCTGATGTTCCCTGGACCCTGCCGGGGTGATGCCGCGATGTCCATCACCAAACACTCCGGCAACCCCGCTGGAAAACTTTCTCGTGCCCTAAACCCTGCACCAGCCGCTGGCCTACGACTGAGTCTGAAGTTTGGGTTACATGCCGCGCCATGAGCGAAAATTTGCGGCAAATCCTAAAGCTTTTCCCCCGATTGAAAGTTTCTCCCACGATCTTTCAAGCCCTGCTTCGAAAGTTTGTATCGTGAAAAACAACACCTTCCTTTATACGCAGCACATGCCGGGTAAATTGCCGCAATGAAGACAACACCTTGCATGCGCACCTCCAAGGACTCGCGGAAGAGGACGACAAAGGCAGGAACAGAGAAGTAGATGTTGGCGGCGGCCAACCTCCCCGTACAGGTTTGGAGTTCAGGGCAGGCCATAGCTTCGAGAGTCTTCGCTGCAGAGCCTGTGCAAAGTGTCCCATGCACCGATACCCATTCCCCCATTGTCAGCATAACCGCAGCGAACCCATAAAAAATGATGTTCTCACCGAGTGCTTATGTAGGCCCTATAAGACTATCCCTACCCATCCCTTGATGAGGCTTCTGTTGAGGTTCACTCCCGCTGGCCTCGGCGCAGCCACGGTGATGTTGTCACGGAGGCCGGTGGCCTCCCCGCAGAAAACATTGCCGGGCTGATGTCGGGATTGTCAAGGGCTATCGAGGGCTGCTGAGGGATGATACTATGTGTAACAAACACCCGAGACTCGACCCAACAGGCAACAAAACAAAGCAAGTCCAGCGTTGAGGGCCTCGTCGACACAATCGCAAACCTGCAACCATTCGACATGGCCGTAGATTTCTGCGCACTGCATGTTCCTGAGCACACTTGTTGTTGCACCACTGGAGGGCACGGAGTTGGGGATCAGGGTCCCAAATTTAGGGTTCCAGGCTTGAAACCTCGGGCAGTTCATGGTGTCCACGCTGAGTTTTGGAAAGTGCTCTTGTCAGGCAAGGTGCGTCAGGCCCGGGTGGCAGGCTTCATCCTCCTCGAGAAAGGGATCAGTAGTCTACCCTGAACGCATGGTCATTTGCGATAAGATCTCTCAAAGGGGTAACCCCAGAGACACGGGTGCAGAACTACCAAATGATGACGTGCAGGGCCTCGGTAGAGGGTTTGGTCACGCTGGGAGTGTCAGGACAAGGGTGTCAGGACAGTGTTTACGAAGTGCTTGTAGCTACCGGCTTTTGCACCCAGGGATGTTTGAAGTGAAAAGGCTCGGGCCTAGTGGGGCTTTGCATGCCAGGGCAGGCGGCGGAGGAGTAGTTTAGTTTCAAGGACTGCATCGCGCGCTACCTGACAAGCGCCAAAAATATTGCTTGACCCTTTCAATCACACACACACACACATTGGTTGTTCCCAAAATTATGGGCCGCTTTTGGTATAGATTCTCTCACGGCACCTCATACTAAGGGGTACCAAAGTGGATCCTATTTTTTGCCACCTATATGTCACTTTCAGTCTAAAGATATTCAAAACCATTGCTTTGCATCTTCTACCATTGGAGGCAAGGACTCACATAGGTGACATTTTCTGAGTAACCCACCGCATGAGCTTATCAAGAATCCTTGGGCGAGCCCGACTACATCGGCTCTCAATCGCAAACCTTGTAGGTGTATTTGTGCTCCCCAGGGAGGGACATCAAATGCCACAAACCATGTGATCAGCACTTATCCAAGAAAAATACCACTGACCCGTGAATCTCCGCAGGTCCTCATCAAAGCAGCCCCACTGGCAGATCTTGCCCGTGGTGTTGATAATAGCCTACACTAAAAGGGTTCGGCAAGCTGCTGAACAATAAAGGAAAGTCAAGGTCAGCTTTGCCACAACTACCCAAACAACTACTCCAAGCAGCGGGCAGACAGCTTGAGTCGTGAAAGCAACAAACTCTGATGTCGCCACTGGAGTCCAAAAATCTTGTCCATAAATCAATCTGAAACACGGTCACAAGCCTGAAGACTCCCTGGTCGTTGCATTCTAAGCCCGTCCCTCGCCCCCTCCCAGATGTTCAGGGAAAGCCCAGATCACCCGTGCTAAGTCTGATGTGGGCCTTCTTTGGGAACAGCAGGATCTCGGAGTCTATGATATTTTGACGACAACTGATCAACGTTCCCCCATACTCTTAAACCGTGTATAGCCCTATACACCATATCAGGAGTCCCCGAGCATTTCAACTAATCAGTAGTCCCCCACCTTTCCTCTGCGTCAGGCCCTGCAATCCCTGATCAAGAGTACTGAGCCCCAAACCCCTAGCAGCCCTAGCAACCCCTGCACATCCACAGCACGAAGCCCTGTACCTTTAGAATCCAGAACAAAAACCTGTCCAGTCATCCTCCACAGTCTTGAGGATCCTCAATACATGGCCTGGGCAAGTCCAAAGACTGCGAAGATGAGGAGCGCGCGGGTAGAGGAAAACCTGGGCAACAAGGAGCCTTAAAGCCTTAAAGGGAAGGAGTGCTTATTTGTGCAGGGATGATGTTGAGGGGTTTCTCAAGCTTTTGGGTCGATAGAATTTTGGGCGGCCTGTTACCCCACCACTCATGCCACCGCTTCCGCCGCCTCTACCAAAAGGCTACAGCTGTGGCTGTAGCTTCCATTACTGTTGCTGGCCATACTCCTACCCTTAGCTCTACCCCTAGTCCTGATCCTATACTGCCAACTCCACTCTTTCGCTCCTTCTCCTACTACGACTACGACGACGACAATGACGACAACTACTAAGACTGCTACTGCTACTCTTCCTACTACCACTATTACTACTACTACTATTACTACTACTACTACTACTACTACTACTACTACTTCAGCTACGGCTACGTCGCGACTTGCTCATAATTCGGATGCCAACTTTTTTTTTACATAGTCCCGGTCGAGGGTTTTATCTTGCTGCTATGAGGAATGCTGTTAGATCAGACTTGCCGCATGAGTCCAAGGTGCGCCCCATTGTTCGCGGGTTTGCAGCGTTTTTTCAATTCGGGTTCGCCCAATGCAAAGCGCACCCCAATAGTCCAAGGATTAGAGGATTGCTTTTTGACTCCCTCTTGCCCCATTAGTCCGATGTACACCTCATTTGGTGAACGAATCGAAATTTCAACTGCGTACGGAAGCTCGCAAGCGGTTTGGGCTTGCGCACGGGTGGATTTAAATCCTACGACTTGTTGAACATCCTAGACCGGCATTGTACCTAAACCAGGGAGAACCCTAGCTGGCGACCTGCCCGCCAACGCTACTGCTACCCACTAGCACCAAACCCTCCTCCTACTTCGGAAACGATGCCTTCGACAAAGACAACCAGAACCCCAAATGTTGCACTATTCCTGCAATCGCCACTGACCAGAATCTAGGCACATGCTCGAATCCGCGAAGGCTGTGTGGAAATCTCGCCGCAAGGCGTACCGAGCACGGCTCTTGAGCCAGCTGGACGACGGTTTCCATCCACAAATGAAGAGAGATGAAGAGAGTTTGTTGACCAGGCAGAAATTTCTTCAAATTTGGGGGATGCGCGAATTGAAATGTACTCCACAAAAAACTATGCTGCTTTTCCCGCAGGCATCTCACAGCAACCCATAATCCTGAAGAGCCCCGCGGCGAGAGTGACGCAGTGGCTTTTCTGTAAGGTGCGCTCAAAGCCATCAGAATCTCGCAATCTCGGAAATCTTACACCCTTCGCCTTTCGCGCAGGCCGGCGGCGGTAAGCGTTCCCCAGGACTGTTTAAGTGGAGGCAGATCTGGCAGATTTCAGAGTCATGCAGATCGTGAAATATTGTGACTGCCCGTTTGGCGTTCAGAGGCAGAACCAATCCTTGTAATGACATCAAGTCAAGAAGAACAACGTTGCTTCGGAGCAACGCATACAGCAGTCTCTCAGCATTACTTATTGGGGCTGAATATTGGGATAATGGAAAAGAAAATGGACTACTGTATTATACAGATGTTATTCTGAACGTATACCGACTGTTTGAAAGATGCAGTTCGACAAGGATTCATACAAGACCATCCAGCATAGTCACTACATCCTCTCATGGTTGTTCAACCTTCTGGCTTACTGACAACGCTGACAAGAATCATCCATAAAGGAAATTTGTTGATTGCCAGAAGTTCTTCCATCGGATCTGCCGTCCCGGGGGGCCACCGCACAGCAATTACAACTCGGCTTCTTAGCCATGGCCGCAGGCTGCGAGAGGTGGAGGTTGAGCAAAGACTCCCGGTGAAATTTTCTGAATGTAGGAGCCTGAAGACAGCCTGGCAATATTGACAGCTCTAAGATCCCGTGCAACCCAAGGGCTAGAGCAGGAGCTTTGCCGCCGATGGCATCTTCAACGACTTGCTGAAGGCAGCGGACGGAGGGATCAAGGTCGTAGCCGGCGGCGGGCAGCGTCAGACTCTTCTAGGGTGCCAGGTGCCTAGTGCGCTAGAAATGCTAGAAAACCTCTCCATGTCCTTCCCTGGCACCCCCTGGTCCGCCGCCGTCCGGGCAGCTACTCTTGGCGAGCTCGGGCTTCTCCGTAGTAAAGCACGCAGTATGGGAGCTGGGGATCCGAACTGCGAGAGATAGATGCCTAGAATTGACTGAGATATCTGCGCAAGGATCTTTTTCAAGCATGTTACTTAGTATACCTAGATATTTTCATGCTGCTATCGTTAAATCCGCTGAGGCCAGCGGCCTAGGAAGATTGAGGACCCCTAGTCAGGTATGCATTCCATTCCCCTAACCCCCCTCCCAGGAGGCCCCAGCCTGAAGTAACTTCGAGACCAATTTTTTGTCGCAAAGGCAATGTTCGGTGATTTTGCCTGGGGGTTTGGGCTGCCTGGTTGGGATGCAGCTCCATGACCCTCTCACCCCCTTCACCGTCGGCCCCTGTTTCTCTACTTAGCGTACCACTCACTTAGGTCTTCCAAAGTGCTACGTCGTGCTCATCAGATGTGGTGAGCAACAACTTTCGCAACTATGTTTTCTACACTGGGCATTTTTGGTGCCCGTTGCCTTCAAGAAGCCCCGGCTAGCCTTTTCAGCTTTCACCTGAATATGACCCTTCCAAAAACAGCCAGGACCATGCTGCGCTCCACAAACAAAAACTCCAGAAAGGATTTGGCAAACCTGGAGGCATTGTTGATGCATTGCAATGGCAGGGGAAGGAAAGCTATGTCCACGTTCCAAGTAGCTCTTGAAATCTCCCAGCTTGTTTCAGGAGCGCAGTGCAAGAGGAAGGGAACTTCAAAAGAAAGCGTAGAGCTGCCCCAAAGCAACCCTCTGCATGATGATGCATGCAGCCCAGCACGTACGTGGTGCACTGCTGGTTTCGTCGGTGCGGCGAATCTTCCGCAAGCACACGGAAAAATTCTAACGAGCCTGGCTGAACATGTCACGCACAGTCACACTCTCACACTTCCGTTGAAACTTTTCAGCATGCCCAAACCTGCTACTCGTAAAATCGCCGGCCTTATCACAAGTACAAGGCCGAAACGTTGGATCGCTCCCCCTAATCTTCTTGCAAAAGCTCCCACGACTGTCTAATTTGAGGATTCTTGACATAAGGTGCTCTTGTGGGAGGAGGAATAAAAGTGGGGAATCGCGATTAAGGTCAAGCGATCCTGCATCCACATCAAGCGCTTCAAATCGACTGCTCCTCAGCGTTAGCATCGGCAGCGCCTCAGACTTTTTTCAGTTCTAGCGGGATTCCTTTACAGCTCCTGAAACATGGACATGATTGCTAGCCGCGTCCTGACAATCCCTGCATCGCTCTCTCTCTCTCTCTCTCTCTACAGTTACAATCCCGCAACATCCCTGGCAATCCTCGCAACCTCCTAGAGAAG